TCATCTGATGATTTACATATATTATAAATTTTGTCCTTATTGGATTACACGTAATGTAATAATACATAATTAATGATTGATAATATGGGTGTTGCGTTATTAATGGAAGCCACTGTAAGTGATATCATTATATACAGTATATTGATAAATCAAAAATCAAATTATATTATTTAATTTTTTTATTTTAATTTTATTTATTTACATATTATAAATAAAATTATCATTAATTATTTTAATAGTTCTATTCTTAAATATAAAGTAAAAAATTTTAACAAAACCTTTTATGTAAATACTTTAATTTTTACTTAATAAATAATAAAATTATATTATAATGATATATTAATTAAATAATATTCTTCATATTGATATAAAACTTTTATTAAAATTGTGATAATCATTCAAATTGTTTTTTAATAATTTATAATGAATTTTTATTTGAAATTGCTTATTAATTTTTTTGCTAAATTGTGTTAAATATTTTTATAATAATTTATATTTATTATTAAAATAATGATTTGTTATTATTGATCTACTCTAATTATTTGATGTAATATTATTTATTAAATTTTATGTAAGTTAGATTTTAATTAATCTGATTTTTATAAATAATATGATTTATAATTATAATATAATGAGTAAATTATTATTTTAACTTTTTATATTTAATATAAATTAGAATTTTGATTAAAAAGATTTCTTATTATATTATTTCAATTATAAGTTTTATTTATTATTATATTTTAGATTAATCTAATTTTTTATAAATAATACTATATACAGTTATAATATATTAAGTAAATTATTATTTTGACTTTTTATTTTTGAATACTTATCAAAATTTTAATTAAAAAGATTTCTTATTATATTATTTTAATTATGAATATAAAATTTTACAAAATATTAAATTAAATGAATAAATTATTAAAATTAATTTATAAAGATAAATATTTTACTATAATATAATTTTTTATCTTTTAAATCTTTTTAAATTAATTGTAAATATATAGGCTTTTTACAATAAAAAAGGAGGAAACTACTAAAAAATTTTTTTTTTACTTTATAAGCTAAATATTATTTTTTTAATAAAATAAGTTCAAATTTAACATTAACTTGAAAAAAATTTTTTTGGTAGTTTCCTCCCTTTCTATTGCAAAGAGTCTATATTTATTAAAATAATTTGAAAATATCTTAAAATAGATTTATTAGTTAAAGAAAAAAAAAAAATAATAAGTATTATTTCAGATTTAGAGACAATAAGATAGGATTTTAATAAAATGTTACTTGATGAATAAATCATAGATATTATACAATATATTATACTTATTAATATAAGTAAAAATATAAAAATTTAATATATAATTATAATATAAGTAAAAAATAAATAATAATATAATAATAAATATAATTTAGGATTTTTGTGATTATTAAAATAAAGTGAAAAAAAGTAAAAGATAGACATAAATAGTATAAAAATATTATAATTTCTTTAGAATTAAATTCTAAAATAGATCAAATAATAATTAAAATCTTTAATTAATCTTTTAGATTTATATTAAAAATATTTATTTTTTTTTGAAGTTAAGGTATACTTAGAAAAGAAATCAAAATTTGTTAACTACAAAATAAAATTATAATATTATTATCTTACGATATTAATGACTAAAAATTAGTATTAACGTAAAATTAATAAAGGGATTTAGCTTTTATTTAATGCTTTTTAGGAAGAGCTCTGAAGGGTTTACAAATAATTATTATTTCAAACGATAATATATATTTAGAATAAACTTTAAGATTTTATTAAAGAATAAGGAATTCAGTACAATTATATTTGTTAGCATATACTTATTATTAGTATTTATCTTGTTAGTGATAAAAACTAATTGAGTTCCAATTGTTTACAAATTATTATCTCTTGTTATCTATTATTATCTATTGCTACCTAATATTATTTTTTTTAACCAAGTCCTAAAGTTATCCTATTTATACTAAATTTGCTAATATAAATAAATAAAACACTAATTGATTATAAATAATAAATAATTAATAATACAAAATGATTAATAATATAATAGAATTTTCTGACGCCTTCTGGGTTTTTCATATAACCTTTGTTTAATTCATTTCTCTTATCTTTACTATCTTTATCGTCTAACGTGACGCAGTCAATATGCTTTTTAGTCACGTGTATTATATGATCCTTTGGATCAATATCTTCCTATAACAGTATAGGAAACTTTTAGAGATTACTAGCCGATCAAGCAGAATGGTCATACTTTATTGATCTAACTAATTCAGAGTGGTGATTATCAGCTCAGAAGATTTTTTGCTAAGCCTCATATGTACTCCTATATGATAAAAAAATAGGTTAGCTAACCTGTTCTAGACACGAATACTAGCTGAATTTTCACATAATTGAAATAATGGTAGTTACTTTTTAGTAAAATAAAACATTTCCACTTCCTATAGATGAATTTCTGTATTAACACACCTAGACCATTTTCTGCTAAAAGCACTAAAGGTAAGGAACTTTTAGAAGTTTTGAAGATACGCTCTTGCATTTTTATTGACTTCTTCTAATTCACTTATTTTCTGATCAGAATGACTAATAATACCAAAAACATTCTGAATCATGCTTATATCCTCTTCCAAATATAAAAGCAAATGATATAATGTCCCAAGTGACCTTTTCCCATATGTTTTTCCTTCAAGATCATGTATATTATTATATAATATAGTAAAAATAGAGTGGCAATCTACATCGAAATCTCACTGTATATCTATTAATTCCCCTACTAAATAAAATAACAGCTCAAACGAATCTTCAAGTGTTTTTCCTTTTTTGCTTTAATTTAATGCTATTTGATTTCTACTCTCAATAGGTCCCTTTCCTGGGTCTGAAACATACTGAGTTTTTTCTAAATAGCTATTATATCTTTCTTCTTATACAAAAGTACTTCATATAATTGAGCTTCGCTTTTATCAAATTAATATTAGTATTGCTTGTCATGATTGTGTTTACCTCTGGTTAGCAAACATTTAATTTTGTGTCTAGAGCTGTGATCATCAGTTCAGAAGATTTTTTTTACTAAGTTACCAGTACTCCTGTGCGACAAAAATATGCAAATCACTAGACAGATTTGTGTGACATATTGATTTCGCATATAACAAAAAGAAAATATACATGCTAACTAGTACCTTTATTTTTTTTCTGAACAAACATGAGAAAAATGTGAAAGAGCGTCTAGTTGCAACACAGGGCAGGGCCTACTGTAAAAGTAAGTACTGACAGCAAAAGCATATGTTATGAAAGGCTGAAGGACTCACAATTTTGAGATTGCAGGCGTAAAATCAACTATAGTCTCTCCGGTAGATCTACATATGAAAAGGTTTGAAAATTCCGTTTGCATGCACTTTTATAGAACTCTTGGCACCAGACGACAATGCTAATCACGCCTCATACTCCTTAACTTTTTACCAGCAAGAAATAAAGCATATAGGAATATGTGGAAGTTCAGTCAACTTTCCCGCAAAAAATTAAGGTACAGTATGTATATGCCAGAAGTTATGTATACACAGAAGCAAGTTTTTCTCACTATGTGTTTAGGAAAGCAAGATGTCTGATAAGGCTGAAGTGCCTGATAAGTCCAAAACATCTAATAAATCAAAACATGACAAGTTTTTTGCCGCTTCATTCCTGGCGAGAGAGTAAACATATTGGCATGATTTTTTTAAAGATGTATTCCAGATTCGATTCTTAGACCCACCACAAATCATAAATAGAGTGAGACGTTGGTTATTATTTTTATCTGCCTTCTATAAGTAAAGCAAAAAATCAAGTGAAACTAATGTTGATCAAAAACCATAAAAATCATTGAGAATACTTGACAAATAAAAAAAATAATGGTATTTGAACTGGCATTTTGAGATTATCTAATCAAACCTTTGTTATATTAGACGCCATGAAAATTTTGGATATATTACTCTTCTTGCTATATATCGTCTTCGCCGAGAAATTTTTGACAATTATCATGACGCAGTATTACAAAAATAAATTCCCGTGATGGGATATAGTCAACTTCACGTCTTCACGTGCATCATTAACGCAGTAAATTTTAAGCCGAATACTTTCGTATTGGTGATAAAAAAATAAGCAGACTGGAATGTTCCATTGCTAATCTCCCGGATTTACACTGTCTGGGAAGTTCTATTGCGTAACTTAAATAAAGTCGAAACCTTTTATAAAATCTGTGCGGATAGGAGTGATATATATAGGCGTAGATATGGGTTGGATAGATTATTTAGGAATTTTTGGCCTTTTTTATATCATCAATATTATTTTGCTACCATTTTCTGATTAGCTATGTGCAGTATCTGAAATTATTAATAAAGTTTTCTCCTACATCGGGCTTAATTTTTAAACATATATGTTATATGCGGGTGATGTTTATATGTGTATCGGAATAACAATAAAAAATATAAGAAAAGGAACAGAGAAAAGAAACTTCATAATAAAATAGATTTTTTGACAGGTGATTTGTATTAATTTCAATAAAAAATTAACGTGTATACATGTGTAACTCAGAAATAAAATCGTTATTTTGATCGAGTATTTATTTAAAATACAGATGACTATTCCTTAATCCACCAATCTTTCAAGTTTTCTGAGTTTACTTCCTTTACTCCATTAACTTCCATAGACAGCTCTTACATGATCTCTTGACGGCTGAGTAAACCGTCCTAAAATCTCACATAGTTAATTAATTTGATAAGGTTGGAATCATATAAATAAAATGTGCATACCACATAATATGATACAAGCTCAAAAACACGCATATACTCCCATATGGAAGACAATGCGAATGGAAAAACAGCATTCCTAACTTCAACTTCTTTACAAACCCGTGGTTGGTAGAGTGATACTTCTATTAGCGTGATTCGATCTTCTGTAAAAGGACAAAAATTATTATAATGTCAACGTGTATTAAAGAAAAAATTGCATACCAATAATTTGTATACTGTATGATTTTAACTTCTTTGCAGTCTCAATACTAGCGCCAAGGTATTTTCGGAGGCACTGAAGAAGAATATCTACACCAGTATTTGATATCTTATCGGAATCTCCGAGAGTATGTTGGCGATCTTGTTGAAGTGGACCTCCTGATGATTCCAAGTTCATCACGTCCGTATTATATATGAGATCCGTAGCTAGTGCATCAACTTTCTTTTTTGTCAGTTCACCGGTTGGGTCGTCAATAAATTCCATAGCCTTGGTTGATAAAATCTCCTTTTCGATCCAATATGTTGTGACATTGCCAAACACATTCTACAAGTTTAAATGGTGTCGCCACCCTTTCAACAAGAAATTTTCTTTCGGAATTGTGCCTGGGGAGACTGTATCTTGGATTATATTTGATCATAGTGTGAAATTCTCTCAATGTCAATTCGAATATGTCGTGCAGTTTCTTTTCTCGATCTGCGACTTGTTCGCCTTGCAATGGTTTCATAAGACACTCAAGTAGCTTCTCCGGACTGGATGATGATAAAGCTACTCGTAACCACTCCGTAAGAGTTAATCCCAAGCTAGATAGTCTTTTCTGTTCTTGCTCGTGATTTTCAATTTCATCTGCTATCTCTGGGTATCTCATAGCAACAACACTTTTGAGGGACTTCAACCCAGGTACAACTTTTGTAGATAACACATTAAACATTTGTCGCGTGAGAATCGGCTTATGAGGTGTTATGAGCGATTCCATTTTTCTTTTTTGATTGTTGCTAACCCAAAACGCAGTGTCTTCCTTGTCAGCACTCACGTATTCCTCATCATTTGCCTTTTCATCTTGAGCTTCACCTGCATTATCCGTTATTGTTCTCGTACAAGTGGGCGTGCTATATTCATTATCCTTATCGAGTTCTTTTCTCTTTGCATCTCGTTCAATAGCAGAATCAATTTCATCATTGAATCTTTTACTGCGAACCTTGAGGACATCCTGGAAGAAGAAATGTATCCAATTTAATCGTTGATCGATCAAATCACACACAAGCTAGTGAACGCAATATAATACTTACAGTTTCAAACTCAGCACTATCTCTGAAAGCTTTTAACTGTTCCGCGTATTTCTTTTCTACAGTTATTAATTTCCAGAACTGTTTGACTTCTTCGCCATCCTAAATAAAGTTCGATAAGTATCTTCTCAATCAGATACGAAAATGACATAACTCAACCTGTATCTTTGTCGTCAACTGCTTCATGATGGTAAGGGAAATATCTTCTGGTGGTTTTGTCTCCAAAATGTGTTGTATAGCTTTTTTGTAATCATGATGTACGGCTGTCTTCGAGAGACCAGCCAGAATTTCCGCTTTCTTGAATTGGAGATATTCGATAAGAAACCATTTGTACCACGGTGTTTTAAAAAAGAACTCACAAACAATTCCATTAAGAAGTTCTGGGACGACCCAATTCACGTTCATTATGAGTGACTAATTTTGTCTATTCTACAAACTGTACTGTAAGTCTCTTTTAATTTTTGCGACCGGGACTGATCATATAAAACCGCATTAGGCTGTTCAATTCTGATTGATCGGATTTTTGATCGGGTTTTGGGTTGATGATTATTGGATGCAACTTGATCAGTGACCCGATTTTACCGACCTACAAAAAAGTAGATCGCGTTTATTAACAAGTAAAAGACGCTTTCTTAAGAAACTAAAAAAATTATGAAACAAGTACAAGTTAATGGAAAAACTTCTTCTAAACGTACCAATACAAACTTTCACGAACCTTCAAAAAAGAAAATAGCAACGCGTTCGACGACAACTTCACGCGTAATTTTGTCCAGACTCAAGAATAGCAACATCTTGGTGTAACGTACGCATGTGATTTTAGGGGAGGGAAACGTATTGTTTATAATTTATCTCTGCGACAGTTTTTTTTAAAGTGTCTGATCCCAAAACGGGAGTGCTATTGTCACTTTGCACTTTCTAGTATGATGCTCACTACTGCTTGTGGAGTAAATACCATCTGGGATATATATGATAAAATGCCACTCCATACCCGTGGTCGTCACAATACCATAGATGTAGTCAAAATAGTCGTTTCCAAATGCCTGATCCACAGTCCATTTCTTTTTATTCGTCTGAAATGCATTCTCAAGTTGCACCAGATTCTAAGAGATAAAATGTGTTAATATTATAGAATCTCTAAAACATAATCTAAGTAGTAGACCTATTTGGCATATCCAATCTTAATATTATGTGGTTTCCCCTCAGCAACGCTTTTGATCGCATAATCTACTCGGCCTGTTGCATCTTCACCAGAAAAAAGTAATATTGCCGAAATAAATTCACAGCATGTTGCCTCATTGGCATTGATCATAATTTCCATGTTTGAAAGTTTAAGATAATGTCCTCCATACAGTGTTTGAATGCTTAGGTCTTAGAAAGAGTTGTAAACCTTGGAATCTTAGGCAGGCTGTAAGCTTCGAAGTCAAATATATCTAATCAATTCCACAGTTGGTGTTATGAATGGAGCTAGTCTTTTTGGCTCATTCAATCTACTTAAGTTGGATACATTGACATTATGGAGTTAGACGAAAGCAAAACCAGTTAGTATTATTATACCTTTCCAGAATTCAGAAGAGAATTCTTCATGATATTTCTCTCCTATTAAGCTTCTTTTACATCCATTACACAAATATCCTAAAAAATTAGAAATACAGTAGTTCAGTGTAAGAATATAATAAATATAATATAGAATTGCTAATATTTTTTTGCATATCAAATATGTACTCAAATTAATAATCCAAAGAGATCAAGTGGAAAATAAAACAACTATCTTGAAACAGCCTTCCAAGCATAACGAGAACATAACCGCCCAGTTGCGGGACGGACCCATCACCCGCAAGACGGACTATTGGGCTAGATAGAGGCAAGAAGGCGATTTTACGCATCATACTAGAAAGTGCAAAGTGACAATAGCACTCCCGTTTTGGGATCAGACA